TATATATATATTTGAAGATCTGTCTTCAACAATTAGGGACACCACCAAGGGGGTATTTAATAATTTTCCTTCTTGACAGGTTTATTCTTTTGAGTTCTGAGCAATTGTGTGGTCTGAATTTTTAATTCCTCCTATATTTAGTAGAATAGTAGTGGTAGTCAAACCTCAAGAAGGTGATTCCTTAAATTCTGCGTTATTGTATTTTTCAAATAACCTATTTATGACAACAGCAGAGCAAACCTTAAAGTCTGCTACGGCTTCTGGTTTTGGCGSCCACTCAGGATTTTCAGTGGTCCCACCAACTTGTCCCTGTCCCCGWCAATCACAGCTTACTCACACTTACTTGTGTCTAATTCAAATTGGTAAAGTCTTTTTAAAATGTGTTTCAAAATTCAGATGGGAGAGACCCTGTGAATGACGCAAGACTGAAAACTGGAATCCCTTGCGAACATTATTAAAATGTTTTATAAACTCTCTCCTGAATTATGTTTGAAACTTGTGGCAGGGAGCTACAGCTTTAGATGAAGTAAACCTTGTACAGAGGTGGATAGGAACTGATTACATTACTTGAGTAACTTTGTGGAAAAAAAAGTACTTTTAGAAGTAATTTCACATCACCATACTTTTTCCTTCACTTGAGTAATATTAATATGAAGTATTGCTACTCTTACTTTATAGTAAAATTTTAGAATTCTCTTCCCACCATAAGTAATTCCACTGAATGAAGAACTGTTTAACCAGCAATGCACCAGAGACACCAGTTTATGTTTAAGTGAGATGTCTTGTTTGTACACATGTTTTGTTGTATTAATATGACAAACAGAAGATATAGTCATTGGAAGTATTTTAATTTTAGTGTTAAGAGCAATTTTTACTTAAAGTGTTTCTTCCGGTGGAGTTTGTTATTTTGTAATTACAATGTTATTTGTATTAATTTATGATATTTAGACTTTAAAAACACCATAATTTGCACATGACTTCCTATTTTTTTGCCACTCTGAAGATATTTTAAAATATTACATCAGATGTTACAATCAGTAATTCACTACTCAAGTAACCATTTTAAAAATACGTTTTGACTCTTGAGTAATTTCTTGTACGGCTAACCTTTACTTTTGAGTAAAAACGTGTTGAAGTAGTGCTACTCTCACGAGTACAACTTTTGGGTACTCTACCTCTGTTTCATCTCTGTCCAAGTCTTTCAGTGGCATGTTTTTTTTCTTTTCAATTTTGTGACATCCCTCCATAAAATCCTTATGGTTCATCTACAGTAAAAAGCTAAATCATCCAAGCCATACTTAATTTTAACCAAACCAAGGACACCCTTTTTTGACTTGTCGTAATTTTTTTTCTTCCTTAAGCAAATGTCACTCCTGTCATTTTTATCCCAAATAAAACAAAGTGCCAAATAAWTTTTTATACTACCTTAATCTATTTTTACTTCTAGAGAATTCTTTTTAGCTGAACTGATTCAACCTTTCCAGATAATCAAAGTTTGGAAACAAAGACTGTTGACCTTTTTTATCATCAAGTTCTTCCAAAGCACATTAGGTGCTAAAATAGAACAAAAGATAAGATGCATATCTATTGTTTGTGATGTTAGGCTGAGAACAATCATTGGTGTTGGKTGTGTGCTTTAATTATTTACATCTTCTTATCAATCTATTGTTTGTTCAAACACMGAGGTACTCTTTGTTCCTAAACAAATATACCATTCCCCTCGGGTGTGCAGATGTGTCCCATCAGCACGGCTCGTGATGAGCTCGTTACCCAACGTGTTTCATGCAGCTACAATACATTCCAGTGAAACCGTTGAAGAAGGGAGCGTGGACACTGAGGCTGCAAAAACAACCTTCACATGAATAATTTTRTTCAAATGTACAACACAGTTCAGACATCACCTCACAGTCAAGCAGCACTTTTCACAYCGCAGCTCAAGTAGAAAACTCTGATCCTTTTCTGTGTGTTTTAGTCAGCTGGAAGGATTTGATACATTCTGTGGATAGTGAAGCAACAAACAGTGGAGTTATTGTTGGGCCTTGTTCACTGTTTCAAAAGTTGGGCTGATTCAACTCAAACAGCCTGAATTTTATCGCCTGTCGCAGAAAGAAGAAAATGTGAGCTTTTTGTGGGCAAAACATCTCATGATTTATCTTATTTAACACTAAAGTAATCATTGGACTACTAGACTACTACTACTACTACTACTACTAATACTACTACTACTACTACTACTACTAATACTACTACTACTACTACTACTACTACTACTACTACTACTACAACTACAACTACAACTACTACTACTGCTACAACTAGACTAACCTTTTGGAGGTAGGATGCCTTTGACAAACACATAAATATCTACAATTTAGACAGTTTTATAGATTTTGAGCTAGAGTTTGATAAAATAGTAGCTGGAAGTCATTCACAAACTTTGAGTGCAATCCCATTTCAACACCTTGCGTGATATGAAACACATTGTTSTTAAAAAGGTTTAACCAAGGCTGCTATAACTACGTCAACATAAGATGACATCAATCCAACAGAATTAAACTTTGTTTTTCCCAACTTGAAGTTGTTCAAAGAGYTATCTCCAACTGATAAGATAATCAATTTTCACTTTTTTTTCCGATCGAACCCCAATTATAAGGACTGAACTTACAGTTTAACATTCTGTCAAGCAAACACTGTCAAGAACTTAATACAATCTAAAAAAGCAGAGTAATAATTTATTTATAATTTATACTTTCTATGCTCGAGCTGTAGCAAATGGAGACAGTACAGGCGATGATCCCCAAGAAGATCTGCTCACTCTGGAGCAACAGGTACTGGCATTTTTGAAAAAGGAGGGACATTGACATCAAATCTGAGAACATTTCGACCTGTCACACCTTGCCAACTAAATCAGGAAAAAATAAACCTGTTGTTGTTAGGTTAATCAGTAGGAAAACGAGAAATAGTCTGATGGTCCAAGCAAAATAACTGAAAGGAACAAAGGTTCATACAAATGAACATCTAACAT